TGTCTCGCCTTCTTTACTAATCATTGATATTATGTTGATAGTCCTAAATATAAAGCTTTATTACAACTGTCACATAAACTTAACATTAACCAAGTACACTATACATTGACCAATGAACCATGAAAATGAGGTCAAGGTCAGATGAACCATGCTAGGCAGGCATGTACAGCTAACAATTCTTCCATACAACAAATATAGTTGACCTATTGCTTATAGTTTAAAGAAAAACAGACCAAAACACAAACTTAACACTGAGCAATGAACCTTGAAAATGAGGTCAAGGTCAAATAAAACCTGTGTGAATGACATATAGATCATAAAATATTTCCATACACCAAATATAGTTGAACTTTTGCATATAGTATCAGAAAAAAAGACCAAAACTCAAAAACTTAACTTTGACCACTGAACCATGAAAATGAGGTCAAGGCCAGATGACACCTGACAGCTAGACATGTACGCCTTACAATCATTCCATACACCAAATATAGTAGACCTATTGCATACAGTATAAGAAAAACAGACCAAAACACAAAAACTTAACTTTAACCACTGAACCATGAAAATGAGGTCAAGGTCAGATGACATTTGCCAGTTGGACCTATTGCTTATAGTATCTGAGATATGGACTTGACCACCAAAACTTAACCTTGTTCACTGATCCATGAAATGAGGTCGAGGTCAAGTGAAAACTGTCTGACCGGCATGAGGACCTTGCAAGAAACGCACATACCAAATATAGTTATCCTATTACTTATACCGGTAATAAGAGAGAATTTAACATTACAAAAAATCTTAACTTTTTTTTCAAGTAGTCACTGAACCATGAAAATGAGGTCAAGGACATTGGACATGTGACTGACGGAAACTTCGTAACATGAGGCATCCATATACAAAGTTTGAAGCATCCAGATCTTCTACCTTCTAAAATAGACACACATCTATCTACTATACTTGATACGAAATAAATACATAAAGGTCGGCCTCTGATGAGGGTTTACCTGGGAACATTCCCGAAAGAACCCGAAACATTGCATATTAAATTCTAAAGAATTAAGCAATAAAAAGTACGTAGTGTCAGGTCAGAAATATTGATACCATACCATGAATAAGTGGGTTTATGGTCTTTTTATAAAACTATTTGAGGTCAGAAATATTGATACCATACCATGAATAAGTGGGTTTATGGTCATTTTATAAAACAATGAAAATTGTCTGACGGGCATGAGGACCTTGCAAGGTACGCACATACTAAATATAGTTATCCTATTACTCATAATAAGAAAGAAATTACCATTACAAAAAATGTTGACTTTTTTTCAAGTAGTCACTGAACCATGAAAATGAGGTCAAGGACAATGGACATATGACAGACGGAAACTTCGTAACATAAGGCATCTATATACAATGTATGAAGCATCCAGGTCTTCTAGCTTCCAAAATATAAAGCTTTTAAGAAGTTAGCTAACACCGCCGCCGCCGGCGGATCACTATCCCTATGTCGAGCTTTCTGCGACAAAAGTCGCAGGCTCGACAAAAATGAAATAAAAATCTTCAAATGTTCGCTCTGAATACTTCTTTTGATCATGAAGATTTGACAAAGTTATTCATTGTTATACTAGATAAATACTGAGTATGTCTATCATTTTTACAAAGCTTTAAATGATAAAAATATATTTTTTTTTACTAGGGAGTATAGCAAGCAAACAAAACAATACTTTCAATTTATAATCTACTTTATTTCAGACATAAATCATCAATAAATCACTGAAAAAAACAACCGTAAATGACATAAAATATATAGTATAAAAATAAAACAAAAAACAAATGCTGTTGACATGTATTGTACCTTGATTAATCACAAAAAATATAAATTCATAATCTAAATCACATATTTAGAAATAAAAATATCAATACTGTAATTGAAAATATTAAAGTGTATAGAGAAAATTATATATGACTTTCTCAAAATAACCCAGAAAGCTCTGCTGTTATTGATTGTAAACACATAAAATTTACTTGTTTTTATTACTAAGCATATAATAAACATGTATAATTTTGATTTATAAATTCAAGAGAACTTGTAATTTCTCACAAAGCTACTTTTGCACATTTCCATTCTTTTAAGTATTTTGCCATCCTAAATGGGGAGAGGATACATCACAGAAATAATACTTTGATCGATTCCCTCGAAATCATATAAAAACACAATGGCAAAAAATATGAAACAACAATAGACTATTTTCATATTACCGACTTTTGATTTTTTGATAGGTTACCTTTTCTTTGGTAAGACATCCTGGTACTCGGTCAAGTAAGAGCAACCAGAATAAGTAAAATCAAACATATAATTGGTGTAATTTGAGGGGAAAGTTTACTGTTTTCTGATGATTTTGTCATGTAAAGAAAATGTAAAGCAGTTAATTTTCCCCCAAAATTTTACCGATTGAAAGCTTTATTTTACTTCTTTACCTTGCTCTTACTTGACTTGATACCAGGATGTCCTACCACAGAAAAGGTAACCTGTCGAAAAATTGTATAATCCGGAGTCAAAAGTCGGTAATATGAAAATAGTATATTGCCCTGAATTGTTTCTAAATGAAAAAATATTCAATATAAAAATGAATTAAGAACTTGTAAAATTGTTAATACAAATATATGAACATAAAACCATAACAATATGTTTGTTAAAAACCTGTTTAAAAATAAAAACAGGAAGGAATGTTCTGTGAAAAATACATTTACAGATAAAATTCTAATACAATGTAGTGCAAATGTACAATATAATTTTGACAAGATGCTATAAGTGTCAAAACTTGTTTAATCAAATTGTTTGTGAGCAATGGTAAAATTTGCTTTGAATTTGACTTGAGAATTTAAAATTAAATATTCTGTATTTAGTAATTTCCCTAACAAATAATAAGTAATATTAGTAAAAATCCCCTTCTCAAAAAAATGAATCCCAATCTAACGATTTCTTTAAATCCAATATACATATATTTACAAAATTTTGATAAAAATAAATCTTATCTGGTTCACGAAAGGTAGCTACTATGCAACCAACATAATTAATTTGAAAAATTTGTATTAGTACCATCCTACAATATTGTTCCTTTCAAAATTTTCTGATAAGTCAAACCAAACTTGTGATTAAAGCAAATCTTAATAATTCAGATTTGCAGAGGTGACCAGACATGAATGGAAATATTAAGGCAACAAAAAGAATTATGCAAATTTTTGGAGATGCACCCCTATCCTTTCTAAAAAAATAGCTCTTCAATCTAACTTTTCTAATAAAAGAACTCAACTAGAATTTAGATTAATTCAGAGTTAATATCATTAATTTTGAGAAGAGCTCATCAATAAACAAGCATTCTGAGAGTATTGCATGGCAATTCATAGTCCCCTATATACCGGGTAAAAATTCATTATACTGGAACAAAAAGCTAACTTGTTCTATAACTTGTCATGGTGTAAACAATAAGAAAATATCAAGTCAATATCTTCAAGCATGAACTTAATGAACTAGTCAGTGAGCATATTCCACACAAAAAGCTAACTACAAAAAATAAAACCCCATGTGTTACATTCGAAACAAGAAAATTAATGAAAAAGATGAAAAAATCTGGAAATGACAATATGAGAAACAAATATAAGCAAATTAAACATCAAGGGGGGTCTCATTGGGGGGTTCTGATACCGGATCCCGCTTACTGTTTTGTCAGATTCCCGTATCACGCTTACACTATGTACGTAAGCAATTCTCATTTTTTTTGTAATTTCCAGTATCCTGCTAGACTTCATTTCCCGTTTTGATGCACTCAACAGGCAGTTTCAATCAGTTTTCTCAGAACCAAACAAAATCACTGATACTGAATTTGAAAACAATCAGTACATGCAACAGAAAATAGTTTACCCTACCATGCAAAACATAAACATAACCATCAAAGGTATCTCCAAACTACTTTTAAATTTAAACCCATCAAAAGCAAGTGGGCCAGACGAACTTAAGCCACGCCTCCTTAGGGAGTTAGCACATGAAATATCACCTATACTGTGCTTCATATATCAGATATCATTAGGCACTGGCGAAGTCCCCACTGACTGGCGTACTGCACATGTCTCCCCCATTTTCAAGAAAGGGTCCAAATATAATCCAGAGAATTATAGGCCTATTTCTTTAACATGCATATGTTAAAAAATTATGGAACGTGTTGTAGTTAGTGCAATCATGACACACACAGACAACCATAACATCCTGTATCCCCTACAACACGGCTTTCGAAAAAATAGATCTTGTGAAACTCAGCTTTTGGAATTTATAGATGATGTCACTAAAAATATTGAAACTTCAAAACAAACAGATGTACTTATAATGGACTTTTCTAAAGCTTTTGATAAAGTCAGTCATAACTTATTAACACACAAACTAAATTACTATGGGATACAGGGAAAAACAAATGCATGGATACAGGGCTTTTTATCATGTCGTACCCAAGCAGTTATCCTATAGGGTGAGACTTCAGGCTATGTCCCTGTGAAGTCAGGAGTGCCTCAAGGATCTGTTCTGGGCCCAAGTCTGTTCTTATTTTATATTAATGATATACCATTTTGGGTTAAATTCCACCATACGCCTATTTGCAGACGACACTATTGCTTACCTGATTATAAAATCTAACAGCGATTGCGAAACCCTACAAAAAGATCTAAACACACTAGGCATCTGGGAACATACATGGAAAATGGCTTTTCATCCTGACAAGTGTAATGTTATTTCCATCAGTCGAAATAAAAATCCATTCACTTTCAATTACACTCTACACGGCCACGTTCTTGAACATGTTGACAAGGCAAAATACCTAGGCGTGACAATACAATCAGACCTAAAATGGCACAGTCACATAAACGCCATCTGTAATAAGGCTAACAGTACACTAGGTTTTCTAAGAAGGAATCTTAACATCAGTTCCACCTCAGTAAAGGAACAGGCATATATATCTTTAGTCAGACCATCACTAGAATATGCCTGTTCAGTATGGGATCCTTACTTTACTGAGGATATAAACAAACTAGAAAAGGTGCAAAAAAGGGCTGCTAGGTTTGTCACTAACCGACACAGAAACACATCACGCGTTAGTGACATGATAGATCACTTAAAATGGAGAGACCTCGCACACAGAAGAACAGATGCACGCCTTGTCATGTTTTACAAAATCACATACCATCTCATCGCAATCACAAAAACAAACAGACTAATACAACCGCTCAGACAGTCCTGGATCATGCACGCACTCTCATTCCAAATTCCATCCTGCAGAACACAAATAATTTTTTTGCCAACAATCTTTTTTTCCATGAACAATTAAAAACTATAGAGTCGTTCAAAACAGCCATCTCAACCTACACATACAGTCAGTAAATTCATCATGTGTAAATAGTTTTATCATAATATTAAAAATAAATAAAATAAAAATATGCACTACCACTATGTAACTAGAGGCTCTAAAGAGCCTGTGTCGCTCACCTTGGTCTATGTGCATATTAAACAAAGGACACAGATGGATTCATGACAAAATTGTGTTTTGGTGATGGTGATGTGTTTTGGTGATGGTGATGTGTTTGTAGATCTTACTTTACTGAACATTCTTGCTCCTTACTATTATCTCTATCTATAATGAACTTGGCCCGGTAGATACAGTGGAAAATACTTTGTAAAAATTTACAAAAATTTACAAAATTTATGAAAATTGTAAAAAATTGACTATAAAGGGCAATAACTCCTTAAGGGGTCAATTGACAATTTTGGTCATGTTGCCTTATTTGTAGATCTAACTTTGCTGTACATTATTGCTGTTTACAGTTTATCTCTATCTATAATAATATTCAAGATAATAACCAAAAGCTGCAAAATTTTCTTAAAATTACCAATTCAGGGGCAGCAACCCAACAATGTGTTGCCTGATTGGTCTGAAAATTTCAGGGCAGATAGATCTTGACCTAATGAACAATTTAATACTCATCAGATTTGCTCTAAATGCTTTGGTTTCAGAGATATGAGCCAAAAACTGCATTTTACCCTATGTACTATTTTTTAGCCATGTCGGCCATCTTGGTTCGCGGGCGGGGTCATCGGACACATTTTTTAAACTAGATACCCTAATGATGATTGTGGACAAGTTTGGTTAAATTTGTCTTAGTAGTTTCAGAGGAGAAGATTTTTGTAAAAGATTACAAAAATTTACGAAAAATTGTTAAAAATTGACTATAAAGGGCAATTACTCCTTAAGGGGTCAACTGACAATTTTGGTCAAGTTGACTTATTTGTAGATCTTACTTTGCTGAAAATTATTGCTGTTTACAGTTTATCTCTATCTATAATAATATTCAAGATAATAACCAAAAACGGCAAAATTTCCTTAAAATTACCAATTCAGGGGCAGCAACCCAACAACGGGTTGCCTGATTGGTAAGAAAATTTCAGGGCAGATAGATCTTGACCTAATGAACAATTTAATACTCATCAGATTTGCTCTAAATGCTTTGGTTTCAGAGATATGAGCCAAAAACTGCATTTTACCCTATGTACTATTTTTTAGCCATGTCGGCCATCTTGGATCATGGGCGGGGTCATCGGACACATTTTTTAAACAAGATACCCTAATGATGATTGTGGACAAGTTTGGTTAAATTTGTCTTAGTAGTTTCAGAGGAGAAGATTTTTGTAAAAGATTACAAAAATTTACGAAAAATGGTTAAAAATTGACTATAAGGGCAATAACTCCTTAAGGGGTCAACTGACAATTTTGGTCAAGTTGACTTATTTGTAGATCTTACTTTGCTGAACATTATTGCTGTTTACAGTTTATCTTTATCTATAATAATATTCAAGATGATAACCAAAAACAGCAAAATTTCCTTAAAATTACCAATTCAGGGGCAGCAACCCAACAACAGGTTGTCCGATTCATCTGAAAATTTCAGGGCAGATAGATCTTGACCTAATAAACAATTTTACCCCAAGTCAGATTTGCTCTAAATGCTTTGGTTTCAGAGATATAAGCCAAAATCTACATTTTACCCCTATGTTCTATTTTTAGCCATGGCGGCCATCTTGGTTGGTTGGCCGGGTCACCGGACACATTTTTTAAACTAGATACCCCAATGATGATTGTGGCCTAGTTTGGTCAAATTTGGCCCAGTAGTTTCAGAGGAGAAGATTTTTGTAAAAGTTTACGGACATCGGACGACGGACGCAAAGTGATGAGAAAAGCTCACTTGACCTTTCAGGTCAGGTGAGCTAAAAATGTTATTATCAATTTTTGTTTATAATTATAAAAAATGTTAAATTTTTCACTGTATATAAGTCTCCACAAAGCAATGTGCAGTACAAGTGACATAAACTTCAACGTGTTAAAGGCGGTCACTACAAAGTAGAAGTAGAAGTAGAAGCATGACTAAAAACAGTGTGGAAAACTGATTAAATGAGTGAATTTTTCAAGTCCAAGGACCATAACTCTGCACAAAATTATCAGACCGATACAGAATTTCGAACTTGATCTGTATAACTTGTCATGATAAAACTATATACCAATTATCAATCAATATCTTCAAGCATGATGAAAAAAAGTGTGGAAAACACTTTAACATTAGATATGATTAATAGTTCTCTAAAATTAGATATGATGTAATACAGTGTATATCTATTTTCAAATTATAATCAAATATAATTAATAGTTCCAAATATTTTTTCTTTTATTTGTCACAAACTAATATAGATTTGTATGTTATCTATAAAATGTCAACAATTTTTACCTACACAATGTAATGTAATATATACATTAATAAAAATAGATTATTATCTAATTAAAGGATTTCACTTCATAATTTTTTATATATATATATAGCATTCAGAAAATTAGTTTATACAAAATAACAAACAAACCTGCCAAAAAATTCTTCAAATAATTTACCAAAGAATGTCTTTTAAAAAATGAGTTATCTCCCTTTGTACAGAAATATGGTTTAACATAGTACTCAAACATTAGATATGATCCAGAGTTATGGTCCATAACTCTGGACTAAATCATCAGACCAGAACAAAATTCGAACTTGATCTATAACTTGTCATGGCAAAACTATATACCAAATATCAAATCAATTTCTTCAAGAACGAAGAAAAAAGTGTGGAATACTGATTTGCCGGACTGACGGATGGACAGACGGACAGAGTGCAAACCTAAAGTCCCCTTCGACTTCGTCGGTAGGGGACTTATAAAGGCAAAATCCAGACAACATTGATATCCATAACTTAAATCCTATAAAAATAAACAGCTGCGCCTAGTCGTCTTGTGTTTGTGAATTTTTATGCAATAATCATAAATAGTTTCTGACATACGGCCTGACATGCGGAAACCCCCTTTTTTTACAAAAAACTCAATATCTCTAAAACAAAATTTTGAATCAAAACCAAAAAAAATAGAGATCTTTAGATGAATATAACTAAGAAGTGTGTAAAATTTTAAGCAATAATCATAAATCGTTTTTGAGATACGGCGCGACATGTGAAAACCCCCCTTTTAAAAAAAAAAAATCAATATCTCAAAAATAAAATTTTGAATCAAAACCAAAAAGTATACAGATCTTTAGATTAATATAACTAAGAAGTGTGTAAAATTTTAAGCAATAATCATAAATCGTTTTTGAGATACGGCGCGACATGTGAAAACCCCCCTTTAAAAAAAAAAAAATCAATATCTCAAAAATAAAATTTTGAATGAAAACCAAAAAGTATACAGATCTTTAGATTAATATAACTAAGAAGAGTGTAAAATTTTAAGCAATAATCATAATTTTTTTTTGAGATACGCCGCGACATGTGAAAAACCCCTCCCCCTTTTTTTACAAAATACTCAATAACTCAAAAATAAAATTTTGAATCATCACCAAAAAGTATACAGATCTTAAGATTAATATAACTAAGAAGTGTGTAAAGTTTTAAGCAATAATCATAAAATTTTTTTGAGATACGGCGCGACATGTGAAAAAAACACACACCTGTTTTAGGTACTAAGTCCCATAACTCAAAAAGTTTTAATCTTATTTTCACCAAAAAGTATACAGATCGTTTGACCATCATAAGGAACAACTATGTTAAGTTTCATGAAATTTGGATAAGTCGTTCTCAAGTTACGGTGCGACATGTTTACGCCAGACGGATAGACAGACAGACGACATTTGTATACCATAATACGTCCCGTCAAAATTTTGACAGGCGTATAAAAATAACACAAACATTAGACTTTACTTTAAAAATTATTAAGGGGCATAACTAACAAATACTCCATGGACCTGAAAATCCTACCCACATGCAAATCTTCATAGTAGGATCTAATAATGTACAAAGTTTCATGAAGATGGGATAAACCAAATAGAAAAAGTTGCTATGACAAGGTTGGTGCTGAAAAGGGTAAACATTTCTAAGGTGAAAGGGCATTAGATCTAATAATGTACAGTTTACTGTAGATGTGATACACAATGTAGGAGGGTATGGTCTGTTCAGCCAAAATGTCTAAATAAAAGGGGCATAACTAAAAAAAACTCAATGCACCTGAACATCCTACACACATGCACATCTGTATATTGGGACTAACAATGCAGTAAGTTTCATGTTGATAAACCATGTAGGAGGAGTTGCAATGATGAGATTAGTTCTGTCAAAGTTTCTAAGCTGAAAGGGGCATAACACTCAATGGACCGGAAAATTCTTCTTGCATACACCTGTAAAATTCGAGATCTATCAATGTACACAGCTTCATGTAGATGCGATAAACCATGTAAGAGTAATTGCATTGAAAAAATTGGTGCTGAAAAGGGTCAAAATTTCAAAGGTGGCATAATTCTGGATAAACTGAACCTTTTGCCTCAACGCTGGAAAAAATAAATGTTCAATTCATAAATAATCTTTTCTATATTTCTGTATCATGCAGTTGAAAAACTTGTCTTTAAATTTACTACATTTTGAAAATATATTCCATTGTGTATGTTTGGTGGGCAAGAGTCTAAAAAGTAACATAAAACTTTATAACTTGTGGTCCTAAATCATATTACATGTAAATCAATTTCAAATATTATTGTTATCATTTATTAAATATTGAGTGGTTGATCTTTAAGACAAAACAATTACCTTTGTAAGTTTTTTTTACACTTTATCGAGTTCTTAAGAACATAAGGGGAAAATCTTGGAAAAAATATAGTTGTCTACAGCATTTTATTAATGTACCCGATTCCCTACAAATTGTCTATGCCTTGCATTATAATGAATATTGTGACATTTTAACTACTTATACATTTGGAGTTTTCTCTTATGAATTTTTGATTTGAATGTTCCCATTACCACTATCAGACAGATACTTTCTTGACAATTCTTGAATAACTTTCCAAGCAAACTTAACATCATCAGATGTAGTTCTAGAAGCACAAACAGCAAATCGTAGAAAATAAGTATCTCTAAACTTTGAAGGAACTAAATGAATTCTTCCATCTTCATTGATTGACTTCAGCAGCATTTCATTTCTATCATTTTTGCCCTGTAATACAAAACATAAAATTATGTAAAAAGTAATTCATCTAAAGCTTTGATTGGTAAACAGTACTGGTTTGACCTATTTGACTCTAATGTTCATAGTACATTTCTATTATACTATAAAATGTTTATTTTCACTCTGATTAAATTTTGTGATTTCAAAGTCCAAACCCATTAGACACTGCACATATTCAGTTGTTAGCTTGTTTTGCTATGCATACCCCCAGTAGAAATTCTAAATATTAGAAAACAGGAAGTAGAGGTCTGACAGATCTTAAAGGTGCTTGCATGTTATAAGTCATCACTGTCAAGCTGCTGTTCAGATATGAAGTAGTTATGTTCAGTAGTACTGGAGATATGTGTGCAAAAAACATCAAGTTCATTAAACAAATAGAAAAATTCAAAGTATCGATAAAACAGGTAACAGGTGTCTGCCAGAATAAAAAAATGCCCAAACATTACAACTTATCACTATCACTGATCAAATATGAAGTCATTCTGTTCAGTAGTATTGAAGAAATGTGTGAATTTAGAAAATAATTCTTTCATGCTCTAAGCTCATTTTAACATGGGTAGGCATTATATTTGTCAATATCTTTATACCTAGTGTTAGCGAGTCTAATAGGAAAATTTAGAACTTTTGTACTTCAAAGCGGACCTATAATACACGTTCAAAGGCAGCCATTTTGATTTGATGAAGCTAAAATGTAATAGAAAATCAACCGTTTCACGATTATATTGGAATTAGAACATGGTTTTGTTTCCAAAGCGAAAGGAGAACGTCATGTTAGAATGAAATATTAAGTTCATTCAACATATTGAAATATTCAAAGTATCAGTAATCAGGTAGTAAAAGTCCCAAAAATGCTCAAATGTTACATCTCATCACTGTCAAGTTGCTAATTAAATATGAACTCATACTGTTCAGTAAAAGCTGAGAAAAGTGTTATGCAAATATTTACTGGACGAACACATGGACAGACAGGAGATTGCCATTAAACCTCCACTCCTACATATTTGATATATTTTAGTTTTAATCAAAAGTTACATGCTTTGATTGGACAGCAATACTATGTAGACCAAGCTGACCAAAATTGTATTGATTTTTAACACAGGTTCATTACTTTACCTAAAACATTTTAGATCTGAACCTTACCACAAAATTAAACTGGGAGATGGATGGATTATCATATCACTGTCTTCTCTCCTACATTCCTCTGTGAAAGGGAATGATAAGACTGCTTAGGCAAGAATTCATAAAATACCAATCAATATTTTGTGTAGTGATCTAGTAAAGCTTAATGATAGCAATGGCCAAAATGCTTATTTTGATCAATTTCTATCAATCAAGTCCCAGTGATTCAGAAAGTCTCCTATATCTTTTAACACTTTGTTTAATACATATTCAGTTTTCACATATGTCAATCTAATCATTGTTAAATTACTTCTGATTATTACTGGGTTTTTGCCAATGTCTGCAGACTTTTGGAGTCAGATTATTTATAAACTCTTAAACTCAAGTGAAACTGCAAAATGAATTTTGTTCTTGAGTTTCATTGATACAGAAAAATTCCAGAATAGAATAGGTTTTCTCAGAGTCAGGTCTTACTGAATCTAAGAGGATAACGAGAAGTATAGTGAACATGTGGTTAGAATTTATCAATATCATGTACAAGAACATGTAGTATGCTATCATCCTATTAGAACAAAACACTAGGTAATATCTCACAAGGTAACAGCTTGGAAGACATCTAAAAATACTTGTCCTGATATTTTGATATGCATATTACCTTTAATCTGAAGCAAACAAGACCCATTTTAACTTCTCCTATAATTTCAAAATTATGGTCTGTCTTCACCAGATCTTCAAACTCATGGGCCAATCGTACATCCTAAAACCATAAACAAGTCAATAATTACATGGGGAAATAATGTAATGGGTGGATCCAAGGAAACATTAATTTTGATTTTAGGTCGATGAATTTATAATCTTTGACTATAAGAATGTGTTGTCTTAGCACTCAGTTAATTATTGATATAGTTTAACTGATCTGTTTTCACATTAAATGAAATTATCACATAAGTTTTGACCTTTATGAATAAATATAAGTCTATACAGGGTTTACCCGTCTTCATCCCTGTTTTTAGAAAAAATTATATACTGTGAATTCATCTATTTTCATGGATACCAATCTTCGTTGATTGAGGATAATTTTATTTTTTGTGGATAATTGATGTGGTTTTGCCAAAGTCTGCATATAAGCTTATAGAAAATTTGTACCTCGTTAATATTTAAGTTTGTCGTTTTTTTGTAGCAATGAAATCCGCAAAAATTTATATCAATCGAATAACAATGAATCCACAGCACATGAAAGGGCCCTGAAAATGAAGAAATCTTTTCCTGGTCTTTAATTTGTTTTCGATCTCTTAAAATAATTTGATTACCATAGTGTGAGATTTACCTACCTTTCTAATGTTTTCCTGAAGCCCTTCCTGACCAAACAATCTCAAGACAAACCATAGCTTTAAAGACCTAAATCTTCTTCCTAATGGTATGTGCCAGTGCTGAAATAATCAATATAATAGTAGCAATTGATTAATTAATGGTTGTTTAACATCCAGCTGCAAATTCTACATCAATATTTTAGATAATAACTGGTTAATGTAACAAAAGAACAGAGTTCCAATGCCCCTGCATTGCACATATTTTATCTGTCCAAAGGCAATAATTCAAAAACTTTTTTTTTGGTTCTTCAAATTTTTTTTTATAAATATCTTACAGAAATGAAAGCCAGAGAAAGCTTCCAATGCAATTTTCAATATAATTTTAATATTTACAAGGGCACAACTCTTTTAAAATTAGTTGATCGGCACTGATTTTCGAACTTGTCCCAGACATTGATGATATAAACCTTTGTAATAAATTTGATCAAAATCTAGCAAGAATTGTACATGTGAGAGCACTTACAATTCCATTTTCTATATAAAATTAATATTTCCAAGCGACACAACTCTTATAATTAACAGCTGCGCCATGAGCGCAGATACGCCTGTCGCTTTTTCAAAAGATATAAACCAGTCACCCAAGTTTCATGAAAACTGGAAGATCCTCCTTTTTTAATGAATAAAACCCCACAACTCGGAAACGTAAAATCTACAATTTATAAAAATCGAAAGGGAGCTCACATCAATAGACATAAAAAATTCACCAAAGTTTCATGAAAACTGTTCAAAGCATTTTTGAGTTATTGTCCGAAAACTGGAAAATCCCCCTTTTTTAATGAATAAAACCCCACAACTCGGAAACGTAAAATCCAAAACTTATAAAAAAAATTTAGTATATCTACAATCCAGAATCGGTACTCTAGTCAAACATGGAACAAATTACAGTTAAAAATAATCAGGACCATTTCTGAGGACTTTGTATAAATAGTTACTTATATGTTATATAAGTTATGTTTATACATAGTTGATTTCCATTACACTCAGTAGTCATTATTTTAGGATTTTCCCAGGATTTTTTGTTTTCTTTACTATTGAGAAGAAACAGATTTATTATCATATCTTAATCAGCTCATGTGAATTTATCAGGTGTTCTTAGCAGGGTGGTTTAATTACATCAGTTCCATTACAAATATACATGTTTTGTTAATTAGTGACCACTTGTGGCATCTGGCTTTCCTTTATCCTTTGTTTGTTTGCACATAAACTTTGGTGTAGTTTAGCTCCTCCCATTTAGGAATATCCCATTTAGTAGTTGTATATTGAAAACCAGTACATGCTGCCTTTAGTGTCCAGTTTTTTCAATGCAGATTAAGCAGTTAAAAGAATAATTTTTGCTCAAAAAGTGGCTTAGCTAAAAACTTGCCTCCCACCAACCCCAACCTTACACCTTTAATATTGCCATGACAGGGGAATCAATCTCAGCACAGTTTATATAAGATTCTTATTGATTTTTATTCTGTATATGTATATGTTACAAAAGTGCTTAAAAATTTCATTCCAACACCAGTTCATATCAGTAGATCTCAGCAACCAGTAGTGCAAATAGTACTTTTAGGAGCTATGTTGGATTGGTGTGATGTCAAGCCAGGGGTCTATACTTTGCTACTTTTCAGTACGCACATGTACATAGGCTGCTGGTTTAGGCATGGATCAGATAAGTAACCTCAGCATCTGAAACAAGTCCATCATGTTTGGACATTTATGAAATTTTATCACTGGTTGTTTCAAAAATTTCACTCATCCCCCAAGAATTTCTGGGGATAAACTGTCAAATTTCATACAAATTCATTCCAACACCAATTCAACATCAACACTACTTGGCTTCCTCATAGCCACATACTAGGCTTCCTCATAGCATCATTATAGGCTTCCTCATAGCCTCATAGGCTTCCTCAGAAAAAAAAAAAAAAAACTCACATCAATAGACATAAACAATTCACCAAAGTTTCATGAAAAATGTTCAAAGCATTTTTGAGTTAATGTCAGGAAACTGGAAATTCTCCCTTTTTTAATGAATAAAACCCCATAACTCGGAAACGTAAAATCCAAAATTTATAAAAATTGAAAGGGAGCTCACGTCAATAGATATAAACAATTCAACAAAGTTTATATGCATATTGGTTAAAGCGCTTTTGAGTTATTGTCCGACATGTTGACGACGGACATATGGACGGACAGGCAACAGTATACCATGCCCAGTATTTCTTTGTCTCCAACAATGCGTCTAGTGGGGGATAAAAAAAATAGACTCTATTTTGTACTAGACTGAGTACTGAGTAAATGTTAATTGTGCTATCTACCAAAATAAGAGTCCACAGTAAGACATGACAACCTACCCAATTCTGATTCTAAGGTAACCTATCTTTGTTCTTACTCCTAAATGTGACTTGCATTAAAGAAAAGAAAAGAAAAAAATGACAGTCAGGACAAAGTAAATGCAATATCACTCTCACTCCGAGAGTAGGGGTATAATTAAAAAGACAACTTTGTACAAAATGTACATAAAATACTACATGTTCAATTAAATGGGACACACAGTTACTGAATTATTCACATTGTAAAATGACATTGAGTGGACATCAGTGTATTGGTACAGACAGCATGTGCTGATTCCAGTGGAGGATGGTCAAATTAGAAAGAAAAGACAAATATATGACACTGCACTTACCCTGTAATCAGGAATTTTTCCTTGGTGATCATGTTTTAAATACAGTGGATCTACATTAAATGCATCACTAACTAACTGGCTGTCTTTTACCCTAAAATATAAACAATACTGTGGAATATATGCATTATTCATACATTTTGCATTTAAACAAAATATATAAAATAATAATTTGACAGTTTTCTACTCATAAATAATCTTTTACATGAGTTTAGGTGGAGTGATACTTTGATAAGTGTTTGGTTGTACAGACATTAAAGTTTTCAGACTTGATGTATATGTTGTGTACAAATTGTAATGTTGTACAAATTGTAATGTTGTACAAATTATAACTTGTACAGTATTTTTGTACAAGTTGTCAGTATTTTGTGAATACCTTTACATAACTAGATAAAATAAGCACAGTGTCTTTGGTTAAGCTTATCACTGTTTTATTTCCACAACTACATGCTACAGTCTTGCACATAGTACTGACAAAAAGTTTATACAAAAACACTAAAATATATTTTGTGGACATAGAATTTGTTATAAGTAAAAAAATAAAAATATAATCTAAACCAATCATGTGTCCTTATTTGTAGTTTTATGACATAGAGGACAGTGCTTAATGTTAGGTTGAAGTATATAAATTTGTGAGTAAAACACCGAACTGGATAATTATTGAAGGTAAACTTGTATCACATGGTGAAAGGTGTGTGTCAAAATACTGATAACTTGTACAAAAACCCTGTACAAAATATAATTTGTACAAAATTACAACTTGTACACAACATATACAAATTTTACTTCTTAAATAACTTAAAAATATAAGTAAAAGGAGATATGTAGTACCTGATTATACATCATTGAAAAAGAAACTTAACAATACAATAAAAGTGAAAACATGTCTAAACTGAGCCCTGCTTCAACTAGAAACCTGTCTAAAGTGAACCCTGTTTTTACCAGAAACCTGTCTAAAGTGAACCCTGTTTAAATTGGACACCTGTCTAAAGTGAACTCTGTTTAATCTGGAAACTTGTCTAGACTCAAGGTCTCAAGGGAGCCTACTAAACTGTTAACAAAACACTATTTGCCTCATATAATCTCAGGTCTTAAAGGAGTTTATGTCCAGCAGGATTCATTGTACATACATCTTTGATGCTTTGTTTAATGGTGTTTAAAGTCACCTTCTGTACATTTGTACAACACCATGGAAGTAAAGTTTATTGGTGGATGAAAACTAAGTAAATGTGATAAGTCATTGACCTACTGAGAGAAACTGATCAACTGTATTTGTTCCTGAAAAATTGACAGCTTTTTGTTATTTTTATATAAGACAGGCAGGATCCTAGCCACGATGACTCTGAAGTTTCATTTTTGGAATCATGATGCTCTGACTTTTATAGTGATATTTCAATCTAAAAATCCACTTTAAAGTCTTTAATGGTATTTTTTATTTTCAGGGGAGGAGGGGTGTCCAAACCCATTGGATACCACCTATAGGAGTGACAGGAAAAGGCTCAAAACACTACGAAGTTGTTGATAGACCGAAGTAATCTGTAGATGTATAAGTCAAGCATTATTTTGATCTAATGTCAACCAAAACTCCTTTAAAGCATATAACTAATCTATTTCATGAGGGACAAAAACCATACCTTCATGTTATATGACAATGATTTATAATAGTGACATACTGAATTGTATAATGGGCTTTACAGAGTTAATTCAAAAGGTTAAACTTACCACATAGCTGAACAATCAAAGTTGACCATTAACCATTTATGTGGATTGAAGTTAAATGACATGGCATACTGAAACAGAATCACAAAATGGAAATAAGAATTGTGCTGTTGATGAAAAAAGTCTCTGTTAAGATTCCCAAAGCAGATAACAAGACCATTTTTAGTTTTTTGTGATGATTACTTTAAGAAAATAGTCTGTTAACCATTTTCTCATTAACTAATATTTTTTAGTTTATGACCCATTTAAAAGTATTTGTGATTTCTTACGGACATCAGGGTCACAATTTTGTGAAGGTAATACAATGCAATAAAATTAAGCCATTGTGAGCAGATTTTAAAAGTGTGATGAAAATATTTCAACATATTGAAAATTCAAAGAATTGGAAAACAGGAACAAGATGTCTTCCAGAGACAAGAAGTGATGAAATGAAAATTTTCCATCATAAGTAAAATTAAATAATGAAAATATCTTTTTTTATGTCTTCATTTCCTCCTGTCTCTGCAGATTTTTACTTTAAACTAAATGGAGAATGTGTCCATGGGACACTGCATATGACGTTATAAAGAGACATAACACAAGAACGGTCAAAAGGGACGTAACTCAAATTTGAACTTGATCTGTGTTTTGTGGTAATAAGCAATGTGAATATGTTTCATAACATTTGGTTGAGGCAAACTAAAGTTCGAGAATGTTTGGGACGTACATACAGATGGACAAGGGTAACACTTAATGCCCCCTCCGCTGCAGCAGGCGCATAAAAATCAATTGATCCATACAAAAATTAAAACAACTGGACATATTACAAAAACTGTCAAACTAAAAGTAAACTGTAAGAGATTTTGTATTTACGAACTTCCTAATGTACAAATGGAAAAGTGATGTATTTCTTTAGGGATAAATTTGTTAAATATAAATCATCAAGAACAGCCCATATTGGGGAGAGCTTTCTGGATAACATAGTAGCCCTTACCTCTACTGAATGGTAGATAATGTTTGCAATGAATATTTTTTAATAAGATGGATAAAAATAGGGTTGAAAAAAGTTAAAAATGAATGACGAATGTACTTAAATATTTTGCCACAGGGATAAGCATTGGAATTTAGTGTGAATCCACATTTTTTATAAGCAAGGCCATGTGAACAGCCCAAAAATGCCCTTGGCCCTATGTTTTGTTGTTGCAAGAGATGGGGCTACAATTGTACTTTAATGCATGATAATTGAAAGCTTCTGATTTTTAAAGGTAAACCAGGTATGATCGTTTTGCAAGAATTCCGCTCAAACTGGTGCTAGGGGCTGTCTTAAACTTCTAGTGGGGCGAGTTTTTTTTGCTCCGTGTTGAAAGCCTCACTGTGACTTTGAGATGAAGAACAGCTATAAAAGCACTGTTCCTTTGCTTTTTGTGTGTTTTTTTGCTGTGCATATACTGATTTTGTGTCATGGATGGATACCCCTTATCCTTTATTTTTCTATTATAAATTCATTTCAAAAAATAGATTTGCACTGAATTCAATGGGAGATTTTTTGCTGAATTTACCCCTTAAAGAAACTATGATAAATAATCTGATGAAACAATAAGTAAGGGTAAAATTACATGTGGTACAAAATAATTCTATTAAGGTTTATTGCCTCAAATGTACTGTCCTCTGAAGAAGATTTTGCACTGATCAGCCTACTCCTATGTAAGACAAGCATTCTGTGAGTATTGCATGGCAATACATAGTCCCCTACCGGTTAAAAATTCATTGTAATGGAGCAAACCTACCACTAAATTCTTCAAACAATTTACTAAAGAAAAGGTTAAAATCCAAAATGTCATTTATCTTAATACAATGTCTTTTACAAATCTTTAAAAAAAAAAAGAGTTATTTCCCTTTGAACAGAAATCTAGTAATTAATAAGTATTTCATCAAAAATTTAATTCTAGGGAAAGTTAAAATATGAGTTGATTCCCTTGGAATAGAAATCTAGTAATTAATAAGTATTTCATCAAAAATTTAATTCTAGGGAAAGGGCTTTAACTGAACAAGGAGAAAAGCTAAAATCGTGAAAATCGAAATTAACCTGTAACTTGTCATGATAAAACACTACACCAAATATCAAATCAAGAAAAAAAGTCTGGAAAACTGTTTTGCCAGACTGACGGATGGACAGACGGAGGGACGGACAGACAGACGGACAGAGTGCAAACCTAAAGTTTTCTTAATTCCAGTTGAATCCATTGGAGAATAGAATTGACAGACAAGCTTCCCTCAAAAGTAGGAATAGCAAAGTCCATGTTTGCTAAAAGAAACTACAAAAATCAATCTGATAAAAAAAATAAAAGGAAGTGTACTAGTATACCATTAAAACTGTAGGTATTTTTTGTTCTGAACGATAAGAAAATAAAAAATTAAAGAGGGAGAAATAATTTAACTACTGACCTCTATACCATTTAACATTGGCCTGAATTCTGGACAAATAAACGAACTTCCTGCATAAGCAGCATCTATATGCATCCAAATATCTTCATCTTTACCTTAATTACAATATATAATTCATTTAAAACAAAGGAACCATGCATAGTTCATGGTGGAATAAAATAAATAACAACAAGAAATGAGCTGTCAAATTGATAGCAAACTGGGTTTTCTATATCTATGATTGAATTTCCCTTTTTTGTTCAACCTGGAGCCATAAATCCTAAATAACACCAGTGATATAGTCAAAATCTAATTTAATCTTCATTTTCTCAAAACAAACAACATATTGAAATTTTAAAAGGATTGATTGAGTGCATTTCGAATTATCACACTGAAACCACACAGAGCCTCATTTTTCAATAATTAAAAAACCCTTACTGCAAAATTGAAATAGTCCAAAGTCAAAAAAGTCAATTTTTTTTCTCACAATAAAATGATGTATGATAACCAGAAATCTGAAAGAAAACAGTGAGAAAAAAATTGGAACCATGGCACATTATTTCTTTTATTTACCACATAAAACTTAAGATTACTTTCTTTGACTTTTTTTTTATGCTTTTCATAAATGTTCATTTCACACTTTTAAAGAAAAATTAAAATTAATACTTACATAAAGGACCTACTTCTAAAATATTGTCAAAGGCACATGATGGTGTAGTTCCTAAGGTAGCACAAACCTACAGAAATTGAAAAAGCTGTTGTTAATATCTTCAAATGTTCCCCTTCACCAAGAATTTTTAAATTACTGAGAATCTGCTGATTTTTGAGTAATTAAAACTGCTTCTGTTGATTCAGTTAAATGTAGTTAGTAATTGTATCAACTGTAATTTTAATAGGTATTGTTTTCAAAACTTCTCTAATGAATACAAGTTTTTAAACTAGTACATACCAGATAATTTTGGAGGAGGTTAACACTCATCAAATGTACTTCTCATCATTACCACTCAGTATTTACAAACAAAATTAATAACTTCTATCTCAGTCCAAGGATAATTTAACTAATAACAATAAATTATGTTTAAATAGAAATAAAAAGATGTGGTATGAGTGCCAATGAGACAACTCTCAATCCAAGTCATAATGTGTAAAAAGTAAAAAAATTATAGGTCAAAGTACGGCCTTCAACACCGAGCCTTGGTTCACACCGAACAGCAAGCTATAAAGGGCCCCAAAATGACTAGTGCAAAACAATTCAAACAGGAAAACCAACAGTCTTATCTATATAAACAAGAGGCTCTCAAGAGCCTGAATCGCGCACCTGTATTTCAGAGGAGAAGATTTTTAAATGTTAGCAAACTTGATGAACAAATTGTGTAAAATTGTCTTTAAAGGGCAATAACTCCTTAAGGGGTCAATTGACAATTATGGTCATATTAACTTTTTTGTAGATCTTACTTTGCTGAACATTATTGCTGCTTACAGTTTATATATATCTATAATAATATTCAAAATAATAACAAAAAACTGCAAAATTTTGTTAAAACTACCAATCGGTGGCAGCAACCCAACAATGCATTGTTCAATTCGTCTGAAAATTCAGAGCTGATAGATCTTGACCAATTGAACAAATTAACCCCATGTCAGATTTGCTCTAAAAGCTTTAGTTTTTGAGATATAAGCCAAAAACTGCATTTGACCCCTATGTTCTATTTTTAGCCATGGCGGCCATGTTTGTCGATGGATCAAAACTTCGGATACAATTTATAAACTAGATACCCTAAGGAACATTTAGTTAAAGTTTGAAGGTATTTGGCCCAGTAGTTTCAGAGAAGATTTTTGAAATAGTTTACGACGACAGACGACGACGGACGCCAAGTGATGGCATAAGCTCACATGGGGCCCTTCGGGCCCCGGTGAGCTAAAAACGAGAAATGAGAAACACTTATGCACCACATCAACAAACGACAACCACTGAAACAGGTTCCTGACTTAGGACAGGTGCAAACAAATGCAGTGGGTTTAAACGTTTTAAAAGGCGCCAACCTTCACCCTAACCTGAAATAGTAGTGTAACAGTACAACATAGAAAGACACACTATAAAATATCAATTGAAATGGCTTAACTCAATCAAAAAGACATATTAACAAAAACAAGTAAACATACACTGAATGAATAAATTTGATCTATGACACAATATAAATACAATATTAAATAAAAAAGGGGGGCTGTAAATCAATGTCAAAAAGACAACTGTAACCTTGGACAAAATTAAAGCTCCTAGGATAGAACTTATCAGATTTACTTTCGTTGCCAGTAGATCTCATTTAAAATTGTGTTTAGTTGTCTAGTCTTTATGTGTTTTAAATACATTATTATATTAAAGCAAAACTGAATAAAGATTGAAGGAGCTGAAATTTTACATTATCAACTGGACTACTACAATATCTCCCTCTGTTGAAGTATTTAAACACATTGCACATCTATTCAATGGTTTAACTTACAAAGAAAGGAATAAGACCTTTAGATTTATCTTTTTCAATGGCTAGTTTTAGGTTGTTGCCTCTCATTGCACCTTTGTCGTCTGCTGGTATTTCTCTCATCTTCACACAACCAATCAAACCAGCTCTTTCAACAGATGAATGACTCTACAACAAATATTATAAAAGAATATAACTATATTCTAATTGAAAATGCAGACAGTAGGCTTCTTCAATTGTAACAATACATATTAATAAAATTAATAAAATGCTTTGCCGAGTGCAGCCTGATACAACTGCAGAGGTTGAAACCTGAACAGTTGGGGCAAGTTTGGACACAATATTCAAGCTTGATACTGTCCGAATTTGGATTGTGATCAAATTTTTGACATAATATAGGTTTCTGACACAAAATAAATGTGGTCAAAGATCTTAAAAATTTGAAATGAGACATTTAATTTACCTAGTATGGTCAAATATCCAAAATCTAACAACATGGTTAGATTCAGCATATAAAAAAACACCAAAAATTTAATTTTAGTTGAAATCAAACAAAGTAAAATTTTGGACCCTTCAAACTTTAATACAGACTTATTTCAAAACAGGGCCCAAAATAAAAAATCTAAATGCACAATAAGAATCAGCATATCATAGAGCCGCAATAATTCAGTTTTTGATGAAATTATACAAAGTTCAATTTTGGACCCTTTGGACCTCAATGTAGACCAATTTAAAAATGGGGCCCAATATCCAAAATAGTAAAACAAGGTTAGAACCCTCAAAAATTAGAGACTTTAAATTAATCCCATTGAAATTGGTTAAAAGATTTGTATTTATTTTCAATTGAAGATTTCTTGCTATTGCGCAATACTGTGCTATTGTTCAATACTGTGCTGTTGCACAATACTAAGTTAATCTGTTATCTATACTACTAAAGGAAGAGAACGATTTCATTGAGCCGCAACCTCTGAAACCATACAAAGTCGGAAATATTTGTGATATGACGTATAAATGTAGTGTTTTGTACTTCCTAAATTTGTCTTTTAAACAATCTTTTATCCACAGTAAAAATATCCAAATTCGGAGACCGTTATCGATCCGTGTCTTATACGCTTATGCATGCTCAGTTGACGTACTGCCCACAGAATTTAACTTTATGTATAAATAATATAATTGGTGAAAAAAAAAAAAAAAAAAAAAAACTTTGCCTCCCTATATAGAATTCATTTTTATGCACATATTTTCTTATAGGTCCGATTGTCCACAGACCTAATTCCCAGCTATCGGTACTAAAGATGCAATAGGTAAAATAGATCTGCTGCTGAACACAATAACATAAACAAGACATTCAATGGAATGTAACTCAGGTAAGTCATAGGTAAGACAATAAAGGGTAAGTAACTCAGGAGGATCACTGGTAAGCACATCTGGAAAAACCTGATTTGTTACCTTTTAAAATAAGAGAACCCTGTCAGTGAAATGATTTTGTTCAAATCAAAAAAAAAGAGTGTTTGGTTACACAGGTCAAATTACTATATTTTTAGAAACTAAGATTTCAGTATAGACAGGCTTCTTGTTTATGCAGAGTTTGGTTTCACAGTTCCTGCTATTCTAATAATAAAACTGTCATGTCCCCTCCTAAATTTTTTTAGAGATGTCCTATCATAGAATAAGCATCTCTTTATTGCTGTAGAAATACCTGATCTGAGCAGTATGCTATGAGTTTTGACACAATTTGTCCCTGATCTATGTAATCTCCGGTCTCTAATAATTTTCTGATCATCTTGGTTCTTGCTGACAACAAAGCCACCAATGTTGCTTCACTTGCTGTACCCTTAACATAGAGAAAAGAACTTTTTTATTATTATACAGGTAGTTGTTCATTATTCAAACTTCATCTCAAAATATTTAAAAAGAAAAAAAAACACAATATACTTTAAAATTGTCATATATAAAATCAAATACAGCCTACATTCATACATGATAATTTTGGTGCATGTCAAATTATGTTCATCATGCAAGCTTTCAAAATAAATTCACTGATGTGAAACAAGGCAATCACATTTTACATTAAATATCACTGAAGGGACGATTTAGCTGATTCAATTATACTTTAGACTACTTCATTTTTACTTTATTTCTGAGTAATATAATTAATTAATCTTTTATTGTCACACAAGCAAATGTACAGTATACATAGCGTGTGACAAATAAAAATCATAAACACTAAAGCAAAAAAAAATAACCTGAATTGAAAATATTCAAGCAAAAACAACTAAGAGTCCCTTGTCTTCAGTCCTGTTTAATAAAAGAACCAGTTCTTTTCACTTGCTGCAGAGTTGAGGGATTTGGCAGTACATGTACTACTATTTTTTCAGTATCAGTAAGATTTGGAAATATTGAATTCTATTTTGTAATATATAACATAAAAGAACAGAAGAAAGCCTGTAGTACCACTTGTGCTATTATTTCAACAAACCTGGTCATCCCTTTCTAGAATGCCTTTCCCTTTTAATGTTCCTCATCTCAAATGAGAGTAAAATTCTAATATAATTAAAGATAATAATTTTGAACATATGGTTAAACATGGGGGATATAAGGATTAAAATAAAATATTTTTTTTTCGAATCAATTAAGAATTGTAAAATACCATAAATAGCCATAAAGAGGCATCATCATCAGAACCTTAACACCAGCATAGTCTAGAACATTTAATTAATGGAAATAAACTAAATTTATAACTTGAAAAATGTGTCCTCTCCCAATGAATACAAACATGACAAAACAATAAGAAAATCAATCCAACCTGAATTACTCCCCCTCCTTTTCCTCCAGAACAGAACAGGAAATCCTGTGGCAGATCTAACATCTTGCCTAGCCAATCCATCACAACCATCTCTAATTCTGTACAGGCAGGACTTGATGCCTAAAATGGCAAAACCATGGGTAACTAGTTTGACTTGTAAAATAAACAAAATGAAAGACATAAATAGTTTGTTATTTAAAATCATATTCACCACACAATCATAGTTGTTTATTGCTATTAAACTATATTTATAGGGCTAAAAATTTGGGTAAAATATATTTTTCTTCTAATTCTAATTGATGTTGAAAATAATCATGGAAAGATTTATCAAAATAAATCTAATGTTTTAAACAAATGAACAATTATAATCTTTACTTCTCGTTATAAAATATTAAATATTGATCAAAATGCTCCATTTCATTTATAAAATAACAAGAGTGCACATGCTGAAATGTCTCTATACAGACCATTGATTTTATGTTGATAGTCCTAAATATAAAGTTTTACTACAAGTACATTTGTATCACATTAACATTTATGATCCATGAAAATGAGGTCAAGGTCAGATAAACCAAGCCAGAAATACATGTACACCTTTAATACAATCATTCCACACCGAATAAAGATGACCTATTGCATATAGTATAAAAGAAACAGACCAAACCATGGAAATTTTATATTGACAAATGAACCATGAAAATGAGGTCAAGGTCAGATGTACCCTGCCAGACAGACATGTACACCTTAAAATCATTCCATGCATCAAATATAGTTGACCTATTGCTTATAGTATCTAAGAAACAAAGTTAACCAGGACAACTGAACATTGACCAATGAACCATGAAAATGAGGTGTAGGTCAGATGATACCTGCCAGAAAGACATACACACCTTACAATCATTCCATACACCAAATATAGTTGACCTATTGCTTAAAGTTTAAGAAAAACAGACCAAAACACAAAAACTTAACATTGAGTAATGAACCATGAAAATGAGGTCATGGTCAAATAAAATCTGCCAGACTGACATGTACATTGTAAAATATATCCATAGACCAAATATAGTTGACCTATTGCATACAGTATAAGAATAAACAGCTGCAACATGAGCGCATGATATGCCCGTTGTCTTGTGTGTGAATTTTTGTGCAATAATCATAAATAGTTTCTGACATATGGCCTGACATGTGAAAACCCCCTTTTTTTTACAAAAAACTCAAGATCTCTAAAATAAAATTTTGAATCAAAACTAAAAAGTATACAGATCTTTAGATTAATATAACTAAGAAGTGTGTAAAATTTTAAGCAATAATCATAAATCGTTTTTGAGATACAGCGCGACATGTGAAAACCCCCCTTTTTGTAAAAAAAAAATCAATATCTCAAAATCAAAATTTTGAATCAAAACCCAAAAAGTATACAGATCTTTAGATTAATAAAACTAAGAAGTGTGTAAAATTTTAAGCAATACTCATAAACTGTTTTTGAGATACGGCGCGACATGTGGAAAACCCCTCCTCCTTTTTTAACAAAATACTCAATATCTCTAAAATAAAATTTTGAATCATCACCAAAAAGTATACAGATCTTAAGATTAATATAACTAAGAAGTGTGTAAAGTTTTAAGCAATAATCATAAATTGTTTTTGAGAAACGGCGCGACATGTGAAAAAAATCACACACCTGTTTTAGTTACTAAGTCCCGTAACTCAAAAAGTTTTAATCTTATTTTCACCGAAAAGTATACAGATAGTTTGACCATCATAAGAAACAACTATGTTAAGTTTCATGAAATTTAAATAAGTCGTTCTCAAGGTACTGTGCGACATGTTTACGCCGGACAGACGACATTTGTATACCATAATACGTCCCGTCGAAATTTTGACGGGTGTATAAAACCAGACCAAAACACAAAAACTTAACTTTTACCACTGAACCATGAAAATGAGGTCTAGGTCAGATGACACCTGCCAGTTGGACATGTACACCTTACAATCATTGCATACACCAAATATAGTAGACCTATTACTTAAAGTATCTGAGGTATGGACTTGACCGCGAAAACTTAACCTTGTTCACTGATCCATAAAATGAAGTGGAGGTCAAGTGAAAACTGTCTAACAGGCATGAGGACCTTGCAAGGTACGCACATATCAAATATAGTTATCCTATTACTCATAATAAGAGAGAACTTAACATTACAAAAAATCTTAACTTTTTTTACAAGTAGTCAATGAACCATGAAAATGAGGTCAAGGACAATGCACATATGAAAGAAGGAATCTTCATATCATAAGGCATCTATATACAAAGTATGAAACATCCAGGTCTTCCAGCTTCTAAAAAATAAAGCTTTTAAGAAGTAAGCTAATGCCGCCGCTGCCGTAGCCGCCGCCGGATCACTATCCCTATGTCAAGCTTTCTGCAACAAAAGTCACAGGCTAGACAAAAACACAGGCCTTTCATTGGGTGATCTAAAATCAAACTTTATATTCGGAAAACAAAATCATGTCTGAAACTATCAAAACACTGTTTATTGATAAATATTCAATACTTTGTAGAACTTGACATACCCACGAAAATCCTATACATCCAATAGCATCTGATAATATGTCTGCTACAATGGCTGGGTATGAGTTTCCAGTTGGAAAATATGCATGAAATTGTGGAGAATGCCAATGGGTTACCTAAAATCAAAAGAAATATAATAATAAATATCTGCTTCCTGTTTATCACCCCTTACCACTTTCAGATACTGTTTAGTACATGATAATGGCATTTTGTTAGATTTTTTTTATACTGTGTATTAAGGACCAGTTCTTTTTTTTATATAAATAGGATCTTGGACCAATATATAATTGCTTAAGTCACATAGAGGATGCACAAAAACATAGAAAAAAAAATAAACAGAACAAGAAAATTGACAAGTGCCCTGCCCTTCATCAACTCCCTACCCCTTCAATTTCTATCTGGACACTGCAAGACAAATGTTAGCAAGTATTTAAATACAATGAAGATATTTTAAATTTAATGATTAGGTGAAACATAATGTTTAAATAACTTTGAAATTAATGAAACATTGTATGCAATTGCCAATAGCATTCAATATCTTGAAGCTGTCTATTCATATTCAATGTTACAAGTGCATCAGAATTCTCAAATGACTGTAACAATTTTCACAGATCTTTTAGATCCATATGCATGTGGGTCTAAAATATCAAAATTAAGTGCTTTCACATTGAATGAATTAATTGTTTTTTCTCATATCATGATTATTGATATCCACAGTGTTGTTACAAAACCATCAATATCATATGAATGAATGAGACATAAAACAACTATGATTATATTGTTGTTAAGGCTTGAAAAAAACCCAATTATAAATGAAAATTTCTATATAATATCTGTTGTACTATACTCAAATAGATGGATAGATGGATGGCTGTTTAACCGTAACATCTAGTGGCAAATAAAATGCTTGTTTAGAAAGAGAACTTGATACTGTGATATGAATAAAGATCATGCTTTGTACTAGACCGACACACTGAGCCTACTTTGTCTTAGATAGAAACAAACATTTTCTGAAATCATTCATCATTTTAAAATACATCTTTAATATTATCCAATAGGGAAATAGGTTAAACTGACCCCCGGCATAATAACTCTCTCTATATCTGAGAAAACATCGTCCCATTTATCTGGTTTGTTTGGAGCATGGTCTGGTAGTAACTCCTTGATATATCCCGGTTCAACTTCAGGATACGGTCTACGATCACGAATATTCTCTAGATAGTCTGCTACATAATCTATCATCTGTTTCCCTCTCTTTCTGAACTCCTCTGGGTCCATCTTTAAATCCTGTTAAGAATAGGGCAGTCAAAAATTTAACAAAAACACATATATGTCATTTAAAATAATATAAACTTTTGACTGCAATTATCCTAATTCAAAATAAATGGGGAATGTGTCCATGGGACACAGATGATGCCCGGCATGCATATCACATATCATAAGGGACATAACTGAAGAACGGTAAAAGTGACGCTACCCAAATTTGTACTTGATCTGAGTTTTGTGGTAATAAGTATTGTGTATAAGTCTCATAACATTTGGTTGAGGCTAACTCAAGTTAGAGAACAGAAACGAAAAATTCAGCAAGTTTTCCATTTGTAAACAGGCAAAACTCTAGAACGGTTAAAGTGAAACCACCAAAATTCAAACTTGATCTGTATTTTGTGTTAATAAGCATTGTGTGTAAGTTCCATAACATTTGGTCAAGGCAAACTAAAGTTAGAGAACAGAAACAAAAAATTCAGCAATTTTAATGTTTATAAAGGGCATAACTCAAGAACGGTAAAAGTGACGCCACCCAATTTCAAAGTTGATCTGTATTTTGTGGTAATAAGCTTTGTGTACAAGTTTCATAACTTTTGGTTGAGGCAAACTAAAGTTAGAGAACGGAATCGAAAAATTCAGCAATTTTTCCATTTGGAAAGGGGCATAACTCTAGAACCGTTATAGTGACGCCACCAAAATTCAAACTTGATCTGTGTTTTGAGGTAATAAGTATTGTGTATAAGTTTCATAACATTTGGTTGAGGCAAACTAAAGTTAAAGAATGGAAACCAAATTTGGGATCTACGTACGTACAGACGGACAAGGGTAAAACTTAATGCCCCCTCCAGTACCGCGGGGGCATAAAAATACTACACTGTTCCAAAGTACATTTTCATAAATTTTTATCCGATAGATATAAAAAATTTCGTTATAACAGTGTGGGAAGTAACTTAAAAATCATAATTTGCAAATGACTCATTTTAAGCTAGATAGATTTATAAATCCCTAAAAGTCTTAGACTTTTAGAGTACAAAATTTAATTAAATGAACAGTATTATGGTATTTGCTCTGCAAATATCCTGTCTTAGAGACCCATATAATGACCTCAATGTTTCATGAAATACACCCCAGGAAAGGGTGGATTCTGTTCGTTTAGTGAGTGAGATACCTATACATGTATTTGACCTGTTGATACTAATTGTAATGCTTTTTTGTTATTTAATGTTATTCAGGGTTATATCTGGTCTATATACCAGCTTTGATAAGTGTTTGGTATTACTATAAATTTTCACTTCGTACTATGAACATCAAAATTTATTTTGTAAAAATATTTCCTTTCTCTATTGGAACTGTACATGTATACCTAATAACAAAATTATTTTCATTTACCTATGTTTAAAGAAATTGCAAATGGCTGATATTTTTGTTCAAGCATATTGTTTTTCTTAAATTGTCTAACATTTCATTCCCGGTATAACATGTTACTTTTATTATTCTTCCCTTAGTTTATTTATTTTGTATTTACATTGTATCATAGGTCAAATTTATTTGTTCAGTGTATGTTCACTGGTGTTAATATGTCCTTTGATTGAGTTAAGCTATTTCAGTTGATATTTTATAGTGTGTCTTTCTATGTTGTGATGTTACACTATTGTTTCAGAAAAAGGGTGAAGGTTTGGTACCATTTAAACGTTTAAACCCGCTGCATTTGTTTGCACCTGTCCTAAGTCAGGAATCTGATGTTCAGTAGTTGTCGTTTGTTGATGTGGTTCATAAGTGTTTCTCGTTTCTCGTTTTTTATATAGATTAGACCGTTGGTTTTCCCGTTTGAATGGTTTAACACTAGTAATTTTTGGGGCCCTTTATAGCTTACTGTTCGGTGTGAGCCAAGGCTCCATGTTGAAGACCATACTTTGACCTATTTTGGTTTACTTTTATAAATTTTGACTTGGATGGAGAGTTGTCTCATTGACACTCATACCACATCTTCTTATATCTATGTTCCTAATGGATTAAAAAATATCACCATAACAATATGCACCAATTTTTATGCGACCGCAAAAAATATTGCAGTTGTATATTGGTATCATGTCGTCGTCGTCCGAAGACATTTGGTTTCCGGAACAATAACTTTAGTATAAGTAAATAGAAATCTATGAAATTTAAACACAAGGTTTATAACCACAAAAGGAAGGTTGAGATTGATTTTGGGGGTTATAATCCTAACAGTTTAGGAATTAGGGACCAAAAAGGGGACCAAATAAGCATTTTTCTAGTTTCCAGACAATAACTTGTGGAATGGTATATGGATCTCTCTGAAATTATACCACAAGTTTCCATACCACATAGGGATGGTTAGGATTGGCTTTGGGGGGTAATGGCTCAAACTGTTTAGGAATTAGGGGCAAAAAAGGGGGGAAAACAAGGGTTTCCTTGTTAATGGACAATTACTTTTTATGTACAATGTTTAGTTTGGATTACCTCCCTTACACTGCTTTTAAATTATGTTTAAGACTTTTATGATGTATTTAAATTGGTAATTATTGTTGAAAAATTGAATTGAGATAATGACCATATCTTGAGGGAAAGAATTTTTTTTTTGGAAAAAGGGAAAGGGGGGGGGGGGGGGGGGGAGGTGAAAAAAAATGGGGGCGGGGGGTAAAACAGAAATTGTAGGGGGGGGACAATTTTTTTTTCTCATTTCAGATTTCAGAAATTAAAAAGAAAATTTCTTCAAATATTTTTTTTTTTTTTTTTTGGGAGGGGGGGAGGGGGTTGTCAATTCGCAACAGCATAGTGTATTGCACAAAAGCAAATAAAATGCTCCGCAGGGCGCAGCTTGATACGACCGCAGAGGTCGAACCCTGAACAGTTGGGGCAAGTATGGACACAACATTCAAGCTTGATACAGCTTTGCATTTGGATTGTGATTAAATATTTGACACAGCATAGGTTTCTGACACAGAATGAATGTGGTCTAAGAACTTAAAAATTTTAAATTGGAAATTCACCTATTATGGTCCAATATCCAAAATCTAAATACATGGTTAGATTCAGCATATCAAAGAACTCCAAGAATTCAATTTTTGATGAAATCAAACAAAGTTTAATTTTGGACCCTTTTGACCTCAATGTGGACAAAGTTGATAACGGGCCCAAAAATCAAAAATCTAAATACATGGTTAGATTCAGCATATCAAAGAACCCCTGTATATTCAATTTTTGTTGAAATCAAAAAAAGTTTAATTTTGGACCCCAATTTGGACCAACTTGAAAACTGGGCCCATAATCAAAAATCTAAATACATGTTTAGATTCAGCATATCAAAGAACCCTAAGAATTCAATTTTTGTTAAAATCAAACTAAGTTTAATTTTGGACCCTTTGGACCTTAACGTAGACCAATTTGAAAACGGAACCAAAAATTAAGAATCTAAATACACGGTTAGATTCGGCATATCAAAGAACCCCAATAATTCAATTTTTGATGAAATCAAACAAAGTTTAATTTTGGACCCTTTGGACCTCAATGTGGACCAATTTAAAAACGGGGCCCAAAATCCAAAAACTCAATACATGGTTAGATTCAGCATATTAAAGAACCCCAAGAATTCAAGAATAAAACCCCATTGAAATTGGTCAAGAAATAAGCAATTTATACAAAGTATCTTCTTTTGCACAATACTGTACAATTAAATATTTCTTGCTATTGCGCAATACTGTACAATTGACAATTTCTTGCTATTGCGCAATATTGTGCTATTGGATATTTCTTGCTATTGTGCAATACTGTGCAATTGAAGATTTCTTGCTATTGCGCAAAACTGTGCAATTGAAGATTTCTTGCTATTGTGCAATACTGTGCAATTGAAAATTTCTTGCTATTGCACAATACTTATTATATAATAATTTACACATCCTGTTTGGTGTGTATCTCCTACCATATCATTATTATTTGCTTTTAAATATAAATCAGAAATAACCAACTTAAAATGGAAAATTTTAAAAGAAAAAAAAAAGGAAAAAAAGAAAAAAAAGAAAAAAAAAAAAATATCCCCCCCCCAAATATTTTGAACCCCCTTATGATTCATCACCCCCAAACTCAATCCCAGCCTTCCCTTTGTGGTATGGTACCTTGCAGTACAATTTCAGAGAGATCCATACACTTGAACACAAGTTATTGTCTGGAAACTAGAAAAATGCTTATTTTTGGCCCCTTTTTGGCCCCTAATTCCTAAACGTTTAGGGCAATTACCCCCAAACTCAAACCCAGCTTTCCCTTTGTGATATGGAACCTTGTAGTACAATTTCAGAAAGATCCATACACTTACACACAAGTTATTGTCCTGAAACTAGAAAAATGCTTGTTTTTTGCCCCTTTCTGGCCCCTAATTCCTAAAATATTGAGGCAATTACCCCCATCATCAATCCAAGCCTTCCCTTTGTGGTATGGTACCTTGCAGTACAATTTCAGAGAGATTCATACACTTGAACACAAGTTATTGTCTGGAAACTAGAAAAATGCTTATTTTTGGCCCCTTTTTTGGCCCCCAATTCCTAAACGTTTAGGGCAATTACCCCCAAACTCAAACCCAGCTTTCCCTTTGTGATATGGAACCTTGCAGTACAATTTCAGAGAGATTCATACACTAACACACAAGTTATGTCTGGAAGTTACAAAAATGCTTATTTTTGGCCCCTAATTCCTTTACTGTTGGTACCATAACCCCCAAAATCAATCCCAACCTTCCTTTTGTGGTATTGAACCTTGTGGTAAAATTTCATAGAGATCCATTCACTTAAACTAAAGTTAGAGTGCGAAAACCAATGTGTCTTCGGACGACGCCGGACGACGACGCCAACGTCATACCAATATACGACCACAAAAATTTTTTTGCGGTCGTATAAAAAAAAAGGGGGGATTTTTTTTTTTGGAGGAGGGGGGGGGTCAATTCGCAACAGCATAGTGTATTGCACAAAAGCAAAAAATTGAATATAAATTCAAATCATATAACTAATTCTAAGTTCTTTGACTACAGTTATTCTGTGTCAGAAACCTATTATGTGTCAAATATTTAATTACAATACAAATTCAGACCTGTATCAAGCACGAATATTGTGTCCATTTTTGCCCCAACTGTTCAGGGTTTGACCTCTGCGGTCGTATCGGCGAAGCAATTTTTTAAAACATATCAATACAAACATTCTGCTAATATGAAAAAAAAAAATTTGGAAACTGTAGTAGTTGAGTGGGTAAAGTACCTATGATACGGAAATTAAAAAAAAATTACCCGTAAAAAAATTTCAATGTTCAACTACCTCCCATTCTTTTAATAATTGATCAAAGTAAAAACACAAAAATTCATATGGGGTTCCACGAAACCCTGTGTCTGGCCTACGATTGCTGCTGTCAATGTAAAAGTGTAATGTTGACTTAAAAAGAGAGTCAATTTATCAGTAGGCTACAGAATTGAAAAAAAAAATCAAACTTTTTATTTAGATGCTATTTCTTGGTCTTGAAGATAAGCTTCAGTCCAAGTTTCATAACAATCCATGAAGGTTTACAAATTTATCATGCCAAAAAAAAATAATCCCAGGCTGTCTGTAAATGTTTACTGTAAAAAACTAAGTCCATCTATCAGAAAAATACTGAAAATGAAAATATTTTTTCATAAGTTTGCTTCAGACATTATCTCTTAATCATAAAAAAGCTTCTGCCAAAGTTTCATAAAATTCTATGAATATTTGACAAAGTAATTGATGTGTAACAAACTTTAACCCTAGACAAAAAAACTAAGTCCATTGATCAGTAAAATACGGAAAAATGAAAATAAATATTTTCAAAATTTTGCTCTGGATACTGTCTTTTGGTCATAAACAAGCTTCTGTCCAAATTTCATAAAATTCCATGAAGGTTTGATCAAGTTATTGATGTCTAAAAAAAACTTTAACCACAGACTGAACCTAAATGTTGATGCTGCAGCCCAAGACCGAATCTAGGATTGCTATGTCTTGCTTTTGCGACATAAATGTCACAGGCTCTACAAAAATCCTGATATTATGCATCTTATTAGTATGTTAAATAGGGATAAAAATGCAAGACAATTCAGAAAATGCATGCTATACTGTATCTAATTTATATCAATGTGTCTACCAAATAACCAATAAGTGTGCCATTTACTATAAAAATGAAAATTGAAAAGGTTTGCTAGTGACCTAGCGTTCCCCTCCACAAAATTTATATCACATCTTGGTTAACTTGAAAATTCTAGAAGCATTTTTTTTCAAAAAATATATAACTGTATAAAAAGGTTGTTATAAAATGCATCACATTCAAGCAATATAGAATCACATTCCACATGTTACAAAATTCAGAACCTAATCAGAAGTTGTCTTTAATGATTTCATTTAATGTTGATGGCAGATTTTTGATAGTCTTTAAAATTTATTTTTTTAGTCTCATTGTCAATGAGCAACTGTATCATTGATATATATATACCACATCTCCTATTTTTAATAGCTACTAAGAACCATTTTTTTATATAAATTTTCTATACATTTCATGTGTTAGAAAAGTTGTTGGTCTTCTAAACTGCATTGTGCTAATAAACAAAATCATCTAATATGAAGGGAAAAGTTAATATTTTCGTTTTCAGTTCAAACACCTTTTAAAAAAGAAAAAATAGAAACTTTTAGCTGATTTAAAAAATCATAATGATTAAATGTTTAAGTAAAGACCATAATAATATTTACCTGTAAATCTCAGCAATTAAACTTCAATTGAAATGTCAGCTAGGGATGATTTTTCTATAGCATGCAATATACCAAATCAATATACCACTTATCCAATCAAATATACCCTCCCTACAAAACAAAACCATCATACAACATATTAGCACTTAAAGTTGCTTTAGCAATCAAGATACTAAACAAAAGTAGCCTTGCAGAAAATCAGACATAAAATTCATAATCAATGACAGGGCTTTATTTTGGTTTGTAAAATGTATCCAAAAATCAATGGCACAAAGTGATTGCCTCTATTAGTCAATTAATCCTTGAGGTCAATAATAAAGTTAAGGATCTAACCAATTAACAAGATTGTAAAAACTGTTTATATAGGTATTAATTTATTTGTATGCATTATTCACAATTTGATATTAACACCTTTTAAAACATTTGAGGATTAAGGCACACAAAAAAATATAAGTTTCCACCATCCCTCTAAAAAAATGATTAAAACAAAAATTTCAATAATTCATACAAAACTATAATCGTCAGTTAGTTCAGTATATTAAGACAAATATATTCATAGTAGGTAAAAAAAAGAACCACATTTCATCTGAAATCATATTGTTGCACTATATTAAAATAATGAAATATTTGTAGCAATAAAGCTTCATTGAAAAGGCTAATATGTAATAAACCCGTGGTTTCTATTTTTACACCCCTCCCTCAACATTAAATTACTCGCTTTCAAAGCACAGAAAAAGTCAGTAATTTTGATTATATTATAGTATATCAAATCTTTCAGAAATATCACACTGCAAACTATGGATTAATTCAAAGGAGGCAGAAACATTTAAAAGCAAATGTAGCTATCAATTCAATTGTTTTATGAATTTAAAAAAAAGTATTGCTTTGATAATTTGGCCTTTATAAAAGTTGACAATTGCCTATTGGTAATTATTTTGCTAGACTTTAGTTTGTTGCTATGAATTTAAATTTTATGCAGATTTCCACCATACATGTATACATCATTGGTCTGTCGTTTCATTATCCATAGTTTTACCAACTGGAAAAATTGACCTTAGGTATTCACTTATTCAGAAACTCCCACTCAATAATCATGGTATAGAATAAATATTACCTTTCAATGAAACAATTCATTTGCTGTATTTTGTTACAATACTTTAGATTTACAAATTTTCCAATGAAGATTGATTTCTTTTTAGAGTGTGGAGATCGTTTTAATAATTGTAAGCAAAACATTTGGCCGGTAAATCAAATGGTCTCAGTTTGTAATTAATTTCAGATGATTTCCTTCCAAAGTAACTAAATCAATATGTTCCATGAATAGGAATTAGCTATACTCTGAAAAAATGTCACATAAATACATAGTAATGTTAGGATGTTGTATAAAGAGTTTTTGTCCTTATAGAATTTTGTCCGGAGAGCTAACATGTTCAACTCCTGTCTATATGATCTGTCTCACATCCAATCTTGATTGATATCTTTTACTTTTTATTTCACAGTTGGTTGAGATAAAACATAAATGTAACCAGTATCTGATATACAATATGGTAAAATCAATAATAATTCTTATTAAATTTGGTTCTTTGCATCATAAGAAGGTAATTCCATTTTAGACACAGGCACTTGTCTCAGAAATTTTTTTTCCTATATACGTGTTATATTAAGGTATATAGGAAATTTTTTTTCTGAGACAAGTGCCTGTGATTTTAGACCTTTATATAATTCTTTCATGTCTTTTGGCACCTTTTTCCAATTGTTGAGAAACATAAAAGTGAAGTCTACGGTTGTATTTAGATGTTACTTAATGATAGTTCTTTTTTTTTATAATTTATATTATTTGTATTTGTAGACAAATGGTAGAATGTGGATTCAAGGAATGTGCTGACATTTGGGAATTAATTATTTCATTATTATGATATGTTTTGCAACATTTCATGCTAATTAATATTAATTATTAAAACTGATTTGGTGTGTCTCTCAATACATACAAGTTTTATTTTGAAGTAGTCAGAAAAATTTTATATTGGAATGAGAGTATCAACGGAGAACATAATTTATTTACCTTTAAAACAAGGGCTATATTGTTACATTCTTAAGTTTTTACTTTAAGAAAGGCAATCAGTATTATTTGCAGAGAAAACCAGTGTGAGCGGTGACCATCAACTTTCAGTAGGTGATCACAATCATAAGCATACCAACACAGTACAACTTGCAAGTTTTTTGAAAATGACCTCAGCTTGACATTTTGTACCCCCTTTAATAGTGGTAATGGGCCAAAGTTATTGGTAAGGTACAGGTAAACAAGATCTGTCCCAAGCTGACCAGAAGATTTTGGAAGCTCTTGAGAGTAGTTTGGAGAAGGAGAAAGATGATTCATGCATGGTATAAAGCAGAAGGATGTTTTATTTCAAAGGAAGAGAACTCCAGGAAGGTAAAACAGTTTAGAACCATCTTCCTATGGAACATAGAGGGGAAGATCTTCCTGGTAGTTTTATCGAAGAGGACTACAAGATTCCTGCTAAACAATGAATATGCAGACATATTAGTTCAGAAAGGAGGTATGCCAGAAGTATCCTAATGTATTGAATATACTAGTGTTTTAACACGTATCTTAAGAGAAGCAAAAGAGAAGAAAAACGACTTAGCAGTACTTTTGCTAGATCTTACTATTGCTTATGGATCCATAGATTCCATACCTCATAAACTGGTAGATATGACATTGGAGAGTACCATGTTCCAACCACCATCAGGGCAATGCTGAAAGAGTACTTCGATCATATTGAGGTAAGATTCACAAAAGGAAATTTCACCTTGGTATGGCAGAGAATAGAAGTAGGAATGTTAACGGGATGTAGTGTCAGTAGTATTGTTTGCAGCAGCCATGAACCTCATTGTAAAGTCAGTGGAAAAACCCAGTAGAGGACCATTAAAGTCGTCAGTTATAAGGCAATCACCAATAAGAACATTTAAGGATGACATGACTGTGACAGCAAAGACAGTAATAGAGGAAAGATGGCATTTAGAGGAGTTGGAAAGAATGATAAGTTGGGCCAGAATGAGATTCAAACCGAGGAAATCAAGAAGTTTGGTTGTGAGAAAAGGCAAGGTGAAAGATGAAACTTTTGAGTTAGCCGGGGAAAGATACCAACGGTTGGGGATGAACCAGTGATTGGGGAAAAAGTTTGATGCTATACTAGCAAACACTGGAAAGACCAAAGAAATACAAAAGCAGTTGGTAGATTGGCTGTAGAAGATAGACAAAAGTGGCCTGCAAGTCAGATACAAGCCTTGGATACCATATAGAGGGTTATTTTCGCGGGGCGTTTATTTTCGCTTATTTTGGTGGATATTATATAAAACGAAAATCGCGAAAATAAATTCCACAAAAATTTATTCATATTTGGGTACTTTCTAATACATGAATAGCTAAAGCGTTTTGTAAAGATCTATTTTTTTTCAGTCGGCAGGTCAATAACGGTATATGTTAGTTTTAACAACATAAATGCCAAAGGGCATTGTACAGACATGTATTTTATAAAATGACTGTCAGGTGTGTATGACCTTATTAATTTGTGTCAATTAAAATAAGAGTGTAAGGTACTCTTATCAGGTAATTACCCTTATTAATTAGTGTCGAACTATATAAGAGTTGTAAGAAACTCTTGCTAATTTATTAACCTAATTAGTAAGTACATCAATTTTGTAACTTATCAACCATAAAATTTACAAGAAGTTTGAATACCTGTAACAAATATCTAAGTCACCAGTATTCTATTTATTAACTGTATCAGAATATAATCAATAAATAATGATGTTATTCAGGTAAAAACAAATCATTTTACCATAACAATAGACACTTGTTTGTCAAGTTTTACAACCTTTTAACTGCAACAATTTCAGTATCCACCAAAATATTTAATTTGGATTTAAGAATCCACCAAAATAAAAACATCCAAAATTTTTCGTAAACTTTGTTGCCCCATAATCACGAAATTTTACACTCATGAAAATAACCCGCTATACAGTACATCAGCATGGTGTCTTGCCATGGATGTTATGGCCATTAGTTGTATATGAGTTTCCCAGAGTCCAAAGTTGAGGTTTTATAGAGGAAGATCAGTGCGTGGCTCAGACAATGGCTTGGTGTACATTGTACCAAGGAGTTTTAGCAGCATTGGCTTGTATAGTACAGGGACTACAATTTCCACTCAGGGCATTGACAGAATAGTTTAAAGTCACAAAAACATGGCAGGTTATGATGTTGAGGGACAGCAAAGATGCTAAAGTTAGAGGAGCCAAAGTGAAGAAAAGCACAAGAAGAAAGTGGAAAGCAGAGTGAAAGAAGCAGACAAGACTAAGACACAGTGTCATTGTTGGTGTCACAGCAGTGGACAGACATGGATTTGGTATGTCAAAAAAACCAAGATGGGATACAGAAGATGAGAAGGGAAACAGAGAGATTTGGTACAGCAGGAAGTACATCAGATAGAAGAAGAGGTCAGGAATATTAAGGCAGTAGGCATGAAGCAGCAAGGTAATTGGTTGAATTGGCAAGGAGATAGAAGTAAGCCTTGACCTGGGTAGAGATTTGGAGTATGGAGGGATACCGCTTGAGCTTCCTACTGAGATCAGCATGATCAGTAAATGATGAACTACCAATATAAAAATAAGGAGATGTGGTATGATTGCCAATGAGACAACTATCCACCAAAGTTCAAATGAAGTGGATGTAAGCAATATACGGCCTTCAACAATGAGAAAAACCCATACAAGTCCATCAAACCTCTATATGTGGGGTTTGATTGAAGATCCAACATGCACCTTATGCAAAGACAAAACCAGCAACTCTACAAGAAGTGTTGTCATCATGTCCAGTGGCACTGAAAGATGGTAGGTACACATGGAGATATGATAGTGTGCTGAAAACAATAGTATCAAGGTTGGATATCATCAGGAGGAAGAAGAGAAAGCTCAAGAAGAACATCACTTTTGTAAACTTTGTGAAGACTGGAGAGAGCAAAGACAGCACACAGAAGGACTTGGGATCCTCGCCACCAAATTTCGTACTTAATCTGTATTATGTAGTAATAAGCATTGTGTATAAGTTTCAT